TTGACAATGGACCTAATTGAATTTTGTGAAATTATGTAAGATGAGATCACTGAGTGACACAATTCACTGCAGTTATGTAGCAGAGACATTGCTTGGGCTGCAGTCAGTTATAGAGTTTGATATATCTCTGATTTCCCGCACGTATTAAGCAGCACAACTGTTCAACATTTGATGAACATTATTTTAAACATGCTCTTTCTTGAGCACCAAATATGTATGTTAAAATTCAGTTTTGTCATCTCAGGATAAATTACATTTTAAAATGTATTCAAATAGAAAATGTTCATTAAAGAGCAATAATATTGCACAATGCACAAATGTCTTTTGGCCTTCCAGTTAAATGAGTCAAGATGTTGTTAAAAATCATAGTTAATGTTGCCTGGTTGAAACCGGGTTCCTGCGGATCCTTAAAAAAAATCTTACATTTAGTTGTTTCAAATTTAAGGACATAAGTCTTAAATTGTACAAGAAAGCCTTAATTATGATTTCAAGAGGTCTTACATTTTGGGACGGAAAGACCAGAATTGTGATATGGCTTGATGTGATGGTTATACTTCAAAAAGTTATGATTTCATTAAATAAACAGGAGCGCTGCAAGTTTCAAAGTCTGGTGCTGCTTTGTGTACTGCCGTTACCAGGGAAACAGTTATAATTGTCATTCTGAAAGCGCCACCTGCTGGCAGAAAATGAATGTGCATTATTAATAAGACTGTTGTTTTTGTTTAGACAAAGTAACTTTCAAGAAAAGTCTGTTCACTCCGTGGCCATATTTGCAATGCCTCTGGGCAGCTCATTCAAAACCAAGTCCTATTTAAATGAATTGGGGAATCCTGAAATCTCAAAAACTGCCCTGTGAACTCGCAATTAAATTACACATTTCAAATCAGCAACAAAATCTGAAATGAACTGTCCCATGAATGTTGTTTATAATGCTCAAATAGCATTAAGAAAGCTTATTTTTCAGGCCAGACCAGCCAATGCGCATGTGCCGTTATAATGCAATTATCAGGTTTCTAAGGGAACTGGAGCTTCTAACGGCCACTGCAGTGACACAATCACTTTACCAATCAGCGATTGGCTCTTTCATCTAGAAGGTGGGACTATTCCACCATATTGCGCATTGCAGTTTCTCCCATTCACAAGTATAGGAGTGAACCTTCTTTGTATTTCTATAGTCTTTGGTTCAGACCAATGCGAAAATCGACCCATGTTTTTACCCTGCAAACACGTAAAGTTGTAAATGTGAACTGGTGGATTGATAAAAAAGATGATGCATTATAAAAATCTAAACAGTAAAATTTAATTATTATTTTTTTTTATATAATAATTTATTGATAATTGTTTAAATTAATAATGATTATTTTGACTCCTTTTCTTAAAAATGGCTTAAAGCCTGAAATGTTAAGTGTATCGTTTTATAAAACTTTGTTTTTGTGAAAACTTGTATCTGAACTGTAAATCATGTGTTTACAGTCATTTTACAGTTTAATATGTTACTATAGACATTGCCCTACCCTTTTCATATGGTATTCATTTTATTTGTGCAAGTCTTAAATGTCTTAAGTCTTAAATTTGAGCTTAAAAATCCTGCAGAAACTAGGGCTGTCACGGTGAGGGAATTTCTCTTGCGGTAATTTTGAGTGGCTCAATATTATCGTATGCGGTATTATCGCCATATATATATATATA